AATACAGAAGTGAAAGATAATTTCGGAGGAAATTGTACTCCGTTAGAGGATATTTCTATATTAAATGCATCCTCTGTAAATAAATTAAATATTAATACGGAACGTTGCAGAATTTTGCATAGTGACTAAATGACACCATTGAATGACGAATCTTTGCCTGATGATTTGTTGATAGATTTTGACGAGCTATTGAATACAACAATAGATGATTATATATAACTAGAATAGAATAGAAACTCTCAATGATAGTCCTCAAGCAATTGGATTCCTTTACAAAACAATTTAGGATACATTCGGAAAAAAATAAGGCTCAAGCAAAACGGTTTCACTGGTACAGTTACATTGATGATCCAGAGAACTTCTATAGGGAACAAGTCACGCTGTACATCCCTTGGCGAAACGAAGAAGAAGAATTGCTAAATCCCAAGATAAACATAAAGGACATATTTAACGAGTATTCAAAAAAAATAAAGGCAGAAAGTATACAATTCAATAAGTTAGGTGACGCCAAAATTTTTGAAAGATTGTTAATAGAAATAAGAAGTATAAGGTTAGATGCGTCCAAGTGGAAAGGGAATCAGTAGTTTGTAAATCAAAACCTATTGACTGCAGCCCTATAATTACTCGGTCGCAAGCAGTCACAACAAGTCGGTATAAAGCAGTAATTTTGTTTTAGTTTCAAAGCAAAAACATAGATAACGCTATATCTACTAAGTAGCAAAGAGTGACAGAAACAAAAATCAGTTGACTACTACAATACCACTACAAGACCACGAGCTTACGAGCGTTTGGGTGCTGATTTAATGTGTTAAGGCTATCATTGTCATTGAGTATTGTTTTATATCTTTAATTTGATTATTTACATACACATGTGTATAAATTTAGTCGGGCGTGCCAACCCTCTAAATGGTTTGTTGTTCTAAGCTCTTCACCAAAGCAACACCATTTTTTTTATAAATTGGACGTCATTTAACCAAAAATTATTAAAATACGAGTTAAATTTCACCACTTGTGGGCATTTTGGTGCTCGTTTCATGTCTATTCAAAATTTAAAGATTATCGGTATGTTCTATTATAATGTAATTTAGCATAGTTAGTAGTTACGTATAGTTAATAAGTACCATTTGTGGCAAATAAAATCATAAAATATATTAATTTGTTGTAATAGTATATTCACCAGTGTAGGTATTTTTTACCCAATTACATGGTTACAAACCTAGAATAATTATTCCCGATTAGTAACCAGTTACAGAAAAAGAAATAAAAATCTTGTATCGTAGCTGGTTACGAAACTTGGTTACCAAAACGACAAATTAATTCTGTTTTCGTAGCTGGTTATCAAAGGAAGAAAAAAAATCCATGTTCGTAGCTGGTTACGAAAGATCAGTTACGATGGTGGACCAAAGGGTATAAACCATGCTATAAATATCCAAATTTAGTATGATTTGAAACGTCACCTACAAATTCAAAAATCGGGAAGGAGAAACTACCATGCCAAGGCAAGGGGAACATTATGTTTCTCTTTCCTGATGTCAGAGGTCTTGAACATTTTATATAATCTAACCAACTCAATAAAGAATCTGTAGGTTCTAATACGATTAACATTTCGAATCAAACGTCACGGGCTGATGAGAATTAAAGCAAGAACAAGCTCTAAAACAAAGAGAAAACGAATGGCAACTGGTGCTGAAGTTATAACGCGTGACGACGTTTATAAAATAACTCTAGAAGTGCAGATATCTGAAGTTAAAAAAGATAAAAAGGAAAAAAGAGTAGGTAAGACAAATGCTAAAGCAGTTTTAACAAAGCAACAATACATTTAAAGGTAGCAATAGAAAAATTGAAGATCCAGGACACAAAGTTAAACAAAATTCAAAAATAAAGAAGCTGGAAAATAAGACACTGGCAAAATATAGAAAAAAAAAAAACAATACATTCAACGACTTCAAGTGAAAGTGAAATGGAAATAAAATATGACGAAGATGGCAATGATAACGATTTTTGGGAGAATATACTGAAAGAGAGTAATGACGAAGATGGTGAAGCAAAACTTAATTATGCTGACAAGGAAAATTTAGACATTTTGTGAGTCATAGGGTCTTGGTAAGAAACGATATTTGCTTTCCCTGTGCTGGAATGTGTGTGCATCTCTGAAGTGACATCGACGCAAAATTACCTAATGCTGTAATAGGCCGAAGAGGCCAATTTATTTTTAAAATGTGTTTATCAAATATATTAAATTCTCGTGTCATAGTTTTCGTTGCCATACTCCTCCGATACGGCTTGACCGATCTACTTTTCGACCGACATCTATTTTTCATCCCCCTAAATGTTAGGGGTAGTCCATCTTTATTTTTTTTATACAAAAACTTTAATTTTTATTTTTTTATGATACAACAATTAAAAATACATACAATCCTCAATTTTCACCCTTATTTTAATTAGCTTTTAGTAATTTAATCTTTTTTTTAGTTACGTTTGCCGGGTCAGCTAGTGTTCGTATAATATTCAGTAGAGTCCTTCTAAATATCTCTGCATAGTGTTGATAGTCTAAGTTGATAATATGTATCTTGTAATGCCAAAGTAAAATTCCTAGTTAGTAGATTCGATTTTCTTATCGATTCGGAGACAAACGATCAGACGGATTACCTGTTGGTAAGCGATCGGCGCCGCCAATAAGTGCGTTGCCGGCCTTTTAGAAGTGATTTCGCTTTAAGTAGGTAATTTAAATAACACGTTGTTTAATATAACGGTATCTTATTTGATTATTTAAGTGATTCATTCAGAATATATCTTATTTTATTGATTCATATGAGCCTATTGTATGTTTAGTATGGAAAAATATTTAAAAATTTGCATTTCGTTTTTAGTTGACTACCCCTGTTTCGAACTCGTATGTTTCCCTTACTCCGAATTCCGATTTTAATCAAAATTTCTTATTTTAGTCCGTATATGTATTGAGTTCAAATTTTATAAACAACATATACAAAAATTATATCGTACAGGTATAATTATAATCTATACTACTATTTATACATAATTATATTCAGACTGTTCCCCTTACCCCAAAAACAGGGAAAGCGTAAAATCAAATCAAATCATGGAATGCTGACATGCTTTTATATGTTTTAGGTACGTTTATCAAAACTATTAAAAACAATAATTATTAGTAGTTAGAACTCAAAATAACATTTGAATAATAAATTAGGTTGTCCTTACCCCACCTAACCTTAGAATTAATAAACGAAGACGAAGAGTTACAAGGAAAAGGAGTCAATGTGGATGTATTGAAAGGATTTAAATTCGAGACACATCCCATTAAGATGTGTACATAATAATAGTTGCAGACGGCGTTTGCTACCTTTTTTATATCCTACAGCCCTAATGACCATAACCAATGTCCTATTCGACGAAGGAACTAGGAGTTTTTAAGAATCAACCACAACTAGTAAATTTTGTAGCTTAACACCCATTTCAAATAAGAGAGAAGATGAAGATCATTACTACAATATAAATATTAGTATTAAATGTACAATAGTATAGGACAGAATAAACAGAATACTTTAAATTAAACTAAAACGAAGTATACAAATGCACAGCTATAAATGTATGAATATTTCGAATTTTTCTTCAAACAAACCTTGACAAATTCAAATGAAATATACACTCTATTTTGATTTTTTAAGTTTATGAACGCCTAACAATACAACGGCAATTGAGACTAAAACTGCATTTATAGGAGCAGTTTTTGCATGATGCGAATACCAACATACAGATCAAGAGAGACCAAAATACAAAACTTTTTCTTTTGGATTCTATAGATCTAATAAAGACTTCGAACGGCACTTTTTCATCAATAAGTTAAATACACAGACATTGGGACTTATTATTAAGTTGTCATATGTTTACTTAGATTTAGAACAAATATATACTTATTGGACTATTTTCCATATAGATAGGTACTTTACGAAAATATTTACAGCCTCTTCAATAAGATCCCAGAGAAAGGCGACAAAGAGAAACCCACAACAATCGCTGCCCGTTCACAGCCTACACAAACGCTAAGTTGTAATCCAGTCATTACTCAACTAGAAGAAAGAATAAAAAAACTCGTTTAGACAATACATATATAAATACCAAAAAATAAACGTACGTCACAGCTCAAAAGACCATTGCTCAGCTTAATGTTGTGGCCCACGTTGAGTTTGAGTTTGGTTGAGTCCACGATGATTAATTTCAGCGCTGGACTAGAGCAAGTGTTTAACTATCAACTGCTTAAAAGGCTGATAAAAAGAGAAATGCACATATAAAATTTGTAACCTAAACCAACAGGAACTGACAAGTGACCCTCGGACATAAAACATTGCTAAAAGGTTGAATATCTTCATAAACAAATCTTTGAGACAATAAGATCCATTCATCCAATCATTTATTTCATATTAAATGACGCAACTTGTATAAAAAGTATTTCGTCACTGTAAAAAACTAGGTATGTTACTTTATTGCAATAAAATATTATTTTATGTTCAAAAATATTATACGTATTTTTTAAATATTACAATTAGACAGAACTTGATATAAAACATATAAAACACTTTTAATATAATCATATCATATCATATACATATATATCTTCTTTATATATAAAAATGGATCGCAAAATGTGTTGGTAAGAAATATTAGAAAAGTAGAGGGAAAGATTAGGAAAAGGTGACCCTTTTATAGCGAGATAGTTGGACCAACGTTGGACCCGTGCGAAGCGGGGGCAGGCCGCTAATAAAATAATAAAAGTCACGAAGAACAAAATAATAAATGAATCCTCCGAAAAGCCTAGTTACAAATTAAGGTATTTTTTCTATTGCGTGTAACCTAAAGTTGCCAATAAAACTAATAATACTAGTACATTGTACATGTTAAGGAATTACATAAAAATCAAGTCATGAAGTCATGATGATCAGGGAACCCAGTTAGAACACTCCTTTATGCGATAGAATTTTCACTTGGAAAAAACACAAGGCCTTTTATCACCAGAAAGAAGAATAAACAAAACAGACACTTTCAAAACGCATTTATTTGAGCACGTTAGACATACATACAAAATGTTACATTATATTACTTCACTTAAGATAATATTGTTAATTACAAATATGGTAAAATTGTAAAATATGCGAGCCCTAAAAATGTGTTTACAATACATTAATTCTAAACGTGATTTCGAAACTCAGCCCACGCTCTTAATAAATAAATATTACAATATATTTTTTATAACAAAATCACCTGTTCAATTGCTATCCTGGTCCATTTCAGTCTAATAAAATTTTATAGTCATGTAGGCGAACTCACGCCATTTATAAATCTAAGCAAATAACGTGCTGGCACGAAATTCTCTGTTTCATCGCTTAACCAGTATGATTTTTGTGGATACATTACATTAATTGACAAGCTTAGATTACACATAATTTCTTACTTCATTAAAAGGATCAAAGTTTTATAAACAAGTGTTTCACTACAATACAAAATAATGTACTACTAAGCTCATAGATAGTCCATTATAAATAATCAATATATAAATTAAATATAAATATTATTGAAGTAAAATTATTGTATTACAATATTTATAGTCTGTGTAAATACAGTATTACTATCACAAAAAATATTGTAAGTATAAAAATATAAAAGATTACTCATGATCTACGAGCAGTGACCATTTGGTAACATTATAAGTATGATTATAACTATTTGGCAAGGGATTTACTGTAACAGTAAAATAAGGTAGGCAAATATGTTTGTCAGGTGCTGATTAAAATAAAGCTATTTAGTAAACATATTCTACAAAAATACACACACATTTACCATGTGTTTTCTCTCACACAGAACAACTATTTTAGTGATCCACAAATGGTGTTCCGGCTCTAGATGTGATGTGTATGAGAATTATGTATATTTGTAACCCACCACATTGTAGATTTCGCAATCGTAGTGCAGGGCAATGTATTGTTTTTACAATACATTAATTTTACACGTATTAATATGCTTCAAACAACTCGGTGTGATAAGCAAACAACACAGGTTCTCTTCCTTCTTATATTTTCAAGGTTGTATATACAATTCCATTCTTCCTGAACATTATGCCCATTTATAAAATAATACACACATTAAGGTATTTGTGAAAATAATATTTAAAATCAATTAAAAATTATACAATAAACTCTATTATTTAGAATTAATTAACCAAGCAGAGATTCACTTAATATTAGATATAATGATAGGATATTTAAAAAAATCAATTGTACTATGTTACGAATATTTTAAATAAACTTTATATCACTTTCATACTTTATTTAATAATTACAATTACAATAAATTATATTATATATATATATTATACAACTTATTCCTATGTCTTTACTGAGTCCATTGCATTTTTATCAAAGTCAAGTACCTGTAGTAGTTAATTATTGTTATTAATAAAGCATTTTGCTATCTTGAGAACTGAATAATTAGTTACTTTTTAGATGAGAAAAAAAATCAGTGTTGATACGTGTTGCTTTTAAACAATACTCAGGCAATATAAAACCACGTATTTTAAATTGAGTAAATAATCTAAAACGCCATTTTACGATAAGAAGATCATGTATCATCTGTGATGTGTGAGTACATTCGCGTTTATACCTTGTACTCATATTTTGTTTTGTAAAATAAATCTAGTTGCAAAACAAATTACAAGTAAATTTTTTTGCTAGTTCTTACTAAATGTAATTCTATAGTTAGGCCAAGATCCATGTGGAATATCTGTAAACAAACTACAAATGTAAGAGTATTGGCCTAACTTAATAGAACTTTTCTGTTGTTCTATACCTTTGCTGCAACTCAGAAATGTTACGAGGATGAGCAAAATGGCGGTATGAGACCACGCGCGACTGATTATGGAAGACGAAGCTCCTTAAGAATTGTATTCAAACATTATATATTGATCCCGGCCTAAGTAATGTAGCATATAAATATGTATATTTTCATACATGCTACATAAAAATAACGAGAGCATACATACCTATTATACTACAAAAACTAGATTTAGATTTTTCACGTTGCTAACAATCGTGGCAAGTTTGTAGTAACATGAATCTGTAATGTATGAAACCAGAAGTTTACATTTAATAATGGCTTATGACTTACAAAAGTAACTGTCTGATATTGTAGCCGCGGAGCCGCGTTTTGACGTTGAAATCATTTGAACTGCCACCTCTCCTGTGAACAATATACTTATCTAAGTTTGTATGTATATATGCTAGCAACACACTCCGACTTCGCAAGGGCGCAATGCCAATACTAAATTTCTTGACTATTCAATGGATGTTATTATACATAGTACCCTTCCTCTTCAATCACTTTCTATTATATATCTACTATATCCTTTGCGTAGTTTTAAAGATTTATGTATAGATACATAGGATGTACACTATGTAGTGATGTATTTACAGCTTTATATGGATGCTATTCACACAATGAATAGGTACATTACGTCTTTTTTATCATACTAACCTTGCAACGACGAATAGTTAAGAGAACGAAAAGAAAATATTCAACTAACATCAATCACCAAAAAAAGTAATAAGTCAAGTAATTCATTTCTTTTCTTTTTTCTTCAAAGATTCATTTTTATTTACATGTAAAGAAGATTTGGTTATTATTAAAAAATATTTGAGCTGTAAGTATACAATATTACCCATTGTGGCAATAAATCATATAAATGATCGATTGTCAATTTTAGACAAGTGTAGTACAAACAAATTTTTTTTATACTAGCTGCTGTCGCGCGGTTTCACCCGCTGCCCGATGTTTTATAGCCTATAGAACTGTGAACTGAACAGTGAAAGAATTTTGGCAATCCGACCAGCGGTTCCAAAGATTACCCCCTACATACAAACTTACAAACATACAAACTTACACATTTTACCTCTTTATAATATTAGTATAGATGAATAAAGTATTGTTAACTAACATACAAAGTAACACAAATATTCTATTTATTTCAGAATTTTAATTATCTGCTCTTACCATGAGATCGAGGTTACGTGATAACCAGGCGAGGGGTAGGCAGTATTGTGGAATGCTCTGCGAACATGAGCGCCGCCATCCACTTAAGTTGGTCTTCAGTTACCGCGCCCGCTATAGTACAACCGAACCACGGCTTGTCTTTAGTCCTAGAGAACAAAATGGGGATTATATATCCAAAATTATAGAATGATATCCTATATAATATGATAGCAACCAACGAGAATACGGATAACCTGGTGGTAAGCAGTCAGCGCGACCGCAGCACCAGGAGAGTTGCGCTTGCGTTACCTTACTTTTGGGGTTTAGGGATTCAAGGATTGGAAAAATTGTGCTTGGGGGGAGGGGCAGGGGGAACTGCTCAAAGTAACCTCACATACACGGCGAAACACAACGCAATTGTTGTTTCCTGTCTTTTTTCTGTGAGGCTCCTGTCGCGCTGACCCATTCGTGCCGAACCGTGGCTCACCCACACTTATGTTTAAGTAAATATGTTGGTATTTGTGTGTAAACATCGGTAATTGTTGTTTGTTAACTTTTTGACGACGTACACACACAGTACTCACATAGATTGTTCACCTTAATACCATATTGAATGTCAATATCTTTGTGCAATCATTTGCTCATGCAATCTGCTATATTGCTTAGCAAACAAAGTTTATTGTGTTTCTGATATTTTATCGACTACTGATAAATAGTTACTAAAGCAAAAATACAAATGACTGATAAAAAATTACACGCAACATTCAATAAATATAAAGATGTAATATATATTTTTATATTACCGTTTTTGTTTATTCCTGGGTATGAATGTGATGGCCCATCGCGATTGAGGATTCCTCTTAGGTTCGTGCCCCACGTACCAGAGAATGTCCTTTACTTTCCACTCCTCTATCTTATGGGAACCCTGGAATTATATAAACACTTTGTAGCGCTGCTCACAATAACATAAAGTTATAACAGTAACAAGAATGTATTGCATAAAACCAGACATCTCAAATTCTTAAGTATATGTATATAGTAAATCATAAAATGTATTTACTGAAGATAAGAACAGGAGTTACAGAGGTTTCAGAGGGTTTGTTCAATAAACAACAAAGCATGCCCACCTGTTTATCTTTAAAGTAGCACAGCCTTGAATTCTGGACTTCGAACATGTGTAGTTTGAAGGACTTCATGGCTTCAGTGGCGAGCCTGAGCTCACCGCATACAGACGGCGTCTGTCTCATAGCCTCCATATCATGAAGTACTTTATTCTGTGTCACTAACAAATAGTTGTGTTTCCTATCGTCCTCGTCCCAATAACTCCATCGCAGTACCACGTCCAGGACTACTTCATCAATATGCACTATACGCCGCATCGAGTCATTGCATATTACTTCTTCTAACATTAGCAGATGGGACTCCGATTTTGCCTTTTCACACAGTTCTATGCACACGTCTGAACTTGTTTTGTTTGGAGTTAGCTGTAAAATCGAATGAAAGTTAAACAGTGCAGATAGACACTGCCTATACACATAGCATGCATTATAATTTTGCACTTTCAAGATTAAACAAATTTGAAACTGTATAGAGTAAATGGTACAAATGTTCTACATAAAAATTCCGTTGTAACAAACAAAAGGATATCGATTAATAGCATTTAGACTAAAAAGCTTCGCAAATATTAATTAATTTCATTCAACTTTAAAGGCAGTTATGGTGAGTTATCTGCAGGAGATAGGCGTATGCTATCGCAGACTTGGGACTTTCTCTATACTCCTTTTTACTTCCTTTATTAATTAATTCCCAAAAGTTTTCGCAGAAGATGCGGTGAAAGCGATATTTTTTGCAACTCTGATTACTTTATTCAATTTAGAGTAAATATGTGTAATTTATATTAGATTTAACGGTACAACTTACAGTTATTTGATGGCAGGTTGATTTATCGTTTACATACACCCAGGTTCTCAAATCGCCGGCTGCTTTCGGTGCAGCTGGAGCGGAGTTACTGAGTACTCTCATAATGACTCGTCTCACAGCCGCTTCGCGACGTTTCTCAGCTTCAGTAGGCTCCCATATAGACTCAAAGCTGGCTATTAAATCTCGAACTACGAATACCTCCTTCGTCGACCAAGCAGTCTGCAGCGTATTGCTAGTCTGTAACATGTACGAATCGACAAGTTAGTCCGGTAACCTGACTCACACAGCGAAATACAAGGCTGTGGTTGTTTCACGCCGTTTTCTGTGACGCTATCACTTCAGTCGAGCCGACCCATTCGTGCCGAAGCTTGGCTCTCCCACACTTAATTATTTCTTACCTGAGATCTAGCGCTGTATTCAAAATGATAACTTACCATGGCTGCAGGCATGATAGTGGGGGCCCATACAGAAGCCAAGTTTTCAGCGCCCATTTTGTTGGCGTGCGCCATCGTATGCAAGAAGTGTAAGTGAGCGAACAGCTTGCGCGCAGTGTTGCGTGCCACTAGCGGCAGTGAGGACATGATGCGGTGGTACTCGTGGTGCCGGGCCGTCTCATCGGGTATTTCTGCAATTCATTATCAGAGCATGTCTCACCTTACAAAAGTATTTTCAGTAAATTCAGAGACAATTTTAATATACAAATAAACAGCTTGGAGATTAATGCCCAGTTTCCGAAAGCCCGATAAATGTTAAAATCAACTAACTAGGTGTCAAATCTCTTGTCAAGTCATCTGATTGGTTGACTGAATTATCAACAACCAATCAGATGACTTAACAAGACATTAAATTGATTTTAACATTGATCGGCCTTTCGGAAGCCGGGTATAAATCTATCTTAATATGGAAAATGAAGATTGAATCTATCTATGTAAATAAAAATCAATGTCACTTTTTGTTGTAATGTTATAACTCAACAATGCCTTTACCGATTTGGCTAATCTCGGTCTTGAATTATTTGTAGAAGTCCAGAAAATGAGAAAAAAACTTAAAAACATGTAAATTGACACCGGCCACAATGACCACATAACCAACTGCCTATAAGCTACAAACAAACGCAAAGCTAGCGTTGTTTCACGCCGGTTTTTATAGAGGCTTAGTATCACACTCCGGTCGAACCGACGCATTCGTGACGACACCTAAACTATAGTTAAGAAAATGTTAAAAGTGAAGCAACCTACCTAGAGCTGCAATCAAGTCTGTATGTTTTTCCTGCGGCACTAACGGTTCTGGAAGGTCGCGAAAGAATCTGAAAAGTAAGTGAAATAAATAATTAAGAGAAATAATTAACTAATATTTTTTGTGATTGTACTATTGTGGACTTCAGTGCGTTGCTATTTAGTTAGGTAAAAAGGTATATTCATATGAATAGTGAAATAATAGCATATTGTCTCCGGTTCACTTACATTCTTCGGGTTGTAATCCTTATCCACTAGGCAAGCGTGAAATATCAACAAAATACATTTATTCATTAAACATGTTGCTTCTATCGTAGCCAGTAACTTCTCCCATATTACCCAGGGGAGAAACTGAATGGAATAAGTATCCTGTGTTATTGTACACTATATTTTGTTTACCAATTTTAATCAAACGAATTCAGTAGTTTTTTATGAAATAATAAAAAAATCATTTATCTACTCAACTAATCATACTTAAAAACTTTTGCGTTCATAATTTGAGTAGTTTAATATTAGCTGCTGCCATCGGTTTAGCTCAGAACGCAGAGATAAGAAGGAATTTTATTAGAAAAACGTATGCCAATTAACATTCAGGTTCATTCACTATTTTCAAGAAAGAGTAACAAACATAGATAAATCACACGAACTTACAAATTATGATTATTATTACATAAGTAGTAGTTCTTTTTCTAGTATTTTAAATTATATTCTTTGTTTGTGTCACTACAAAATATTCGGTGCAGGTTGTGACACCTTTAAGTGCTTTACATCTAACTTAATTATCTTGTAGAGTGTCAGAGTCTTCCTAACTAACAACCGCCAGTTTCTTCTCCTGCTTTAGGCCGTGGCCAAGGTGCCTAATTACGCTTACCCCGCAACCTCGACGTATAATAGTTTAAGTTAAGAGTACAGTTTTGTATACCTAATAGTTATTGATTTTCTATAACAGGGAATACTGATTTTAATTACATTTGACATGAATATACCTGGTAAATTAAATTCCACTGACAGGAAAACCTAATTTTCAAATTTCGAACTTTAGGTAATAACGTTACCGTTGTCGTTTTCCCGTTGTGTTAGTGAGATTTGTTTTAAAATGTAATTAGGTATTTCAAAAGAATTTCCAAAATTTATAAATATGTACTTTCATTATTCATGTATATTTAAATTGAATAATGTATTGAAGCATTAAGCCAAATTTAAAAGATACAACATGCAGGTTGCTTGTCTGTTGCATACAACTAATTAGAACAATAATTTACTTGAATGGTCTAAACAATACGATACAGAATATGAGCCTAAAGTTTATTGAATTCGATGATTGCTCTCGTGTTTTCTAGAAAATAGTAGTGTGTAACCGAGCCTTTATATTAAGTGTTCGATTAAGCTCTATAACTCAATTTGGGAATTTATTCTCAGACACGTTTTTAAGCAATTTTGACAATGAATGAAGTTTTCAGTGTAGTTTCATTTTTTGTTTCATAGAACGCATACTTGGGAAAGGTATAACAATAATACGATTGACTTTAATTAGTATAATCCTATGTCCTTATTACATTTATTATTCATTGTGCACTAAAAGTCAGTTTGAATAACCTATATTTCTTTTAAATTTGCTTAAAAAAGCGGATTATATCTAAACACTGAATTTTGAAAAAACCCTAATACAATTGGACCAAAACTCTTCCTCCTCTTAGACTTTATTGCCCTCTTTGAGATTATTAGCACAAAGATCATAGGATTAAATTTGATACATTCACCGCGCAGAAAAGCATTCCGGACGATGCTATGGCGGGTCGCTAGCAAATGAATACTACCTACCTTTTGAGGACGCCAGTAACATCATGTTCAGAATGTTGCACGGGACTGAGCTGGACAGACCACGCGTCGCGACGGAATCGAGCGAGCAACTCTGACAGTACAGAGCCACTACCTGCGCGACGGTAGATACCCTCCGAGAGACTGCCTGCAAACATTCGATACGTCTTCAGCTAAAGAAAGATCTTTAATTATGTTTTTTTAAAAGGGATCATCTCTTTTACTTCCTATCTACCACCCAAAGATAAAAAGCTTATACTAAATTTTTCAACTATTTAATGGATGTTTTCAAGGGAATTCAATCCTCCCCCTGTTTAAGCACCCTATTTATTAAAGTATCATCAAAATCCCTTGCGTAGATTAAACGATATAAGCAAATATAAAGATAAACTGACAAAGGAGGCGACATTGTTTTAATATTAGTAACTTATAATAAACACAAATTGCACTTTGGATAATGTACGAATACATAATGCATTGTTTATATACATACCATGAGCATAGATGAAGCTAAGGCACTTATCCACGATGGCAGGAACATCTTCTTTGGTGAGCTGCTGGTGGTGTATGTGGGCTCCATTGTTGTGTGCCGCCAACTTCACCATGTACCGCCATCCCTTGAAACCAGGTACAAAACGTTTATTCATCAAAGTTATATTAAAAAAAAACACAGACATGACACGCTAAAATAATTCGCCCAAAATAACTTTATAAAACACATTTCGCAATATGATCACACATTGAAATAAGGCTTTAAGAACGCAGAATAAATGTTTTTTCAACACACTTCCTCATAAAGTGGCTCTTGTCTCGTGGTAATTAGGTACATAATGACACCTATAACCAAACTGATCCCACAGTCAAACTGCTTTTACAGTTTTGTGGGACATAGTAATTAGTTCTTAAGTTTACTCTGTATTTTCTAATAAATAAATAAATAAACTGTGACTTTTTCATCAATAGATTTATTTCTATTATTTGTTGAATTATTTTCATCCTCGAAACGCTCAAAAAAAGAAACCTCATTTTTAAGTCTATGGATGACGTGCGCGCATAAGATACCAGATTAATTTTTTTCGGCATTACGAAATTATTTCACGATTCGTCTCCTTTTCACTTTTGTAGTTTTTTTAATAAAATATTATTTCATACATAAGCGTGTTGAAAAACGTCGTATGATACACGTGTGTTGATGATTACCGTCCTCGGCTCCATAAGACCCTCGCTTGACGGCTTACCAACCACTAATCACCAACATTATACACTTGTACCATAATACCATAATTTACTATAATGAATTAACCTAAACCGAAAAATTACACAGTAAACTTGACAAAATGCATCCATTAAAGGATTTATGAACACATTCGCATACTCGCATACTTTTAGAAATACTAACCTTGTGGCTCCTAAAATGTCCTTAGTTTAGGCAGTTTGAAGTGTGTGCTTATTCCCAAAGGTAATTAAGAATAAAAGTGTGTTATTCTAGTTTAAAACTCATTATATAAAAGTCTATGAGATTAAATATGTAGTATACATATCATCAGGTATGACGCATTGAAAACTATCAAGTCTTTACTTTTAAATAATGTGTTACAGCCGAAACTCAACATTCGCTTTAAAAACCTTCCTGTTTGAGAAATCTGCACTGTAATTACAAACTACATACTATATCTATCATCTATCTAATTTTCCTTTCTCCAAAATATAAAACAAAATGGTATTAAGAAGAGATCTCACTTCTCTGAAAAGATGGTAATGAAAAAAAAAAAAATTCCAAGACATTGAAGCATTAAGCCGGACTTTTACAAGACAAACACCTTGCCTATGAACCCCTACGTAACAACATTATCTTCACCAGCTAGCTCATCTTAAATGTATTCATTTAATAAATCAGTATGAAAAGACCATCATTGAATACGGAAAAAGTTAGACTATCTTTTTAGGTTTTTTTCTTTATAGAAAATCAATTTTAATTCGCAAAGCTTCATTTGCAAATATGTTTCATTCGCAGATTTCAAGGAAGTCTAAAAGTAAAATACTGTTGCATCGGCAATAAAAAGCATCAGAATAAGTTGATTATCATGTTTATTGTTGACATTTATTACCACGAAATATTAATTAAATTGACATCAAGAGTAAAAATGTAGTATTTATGAGTAATAGTAAAACGTTGTACAATTACATATGTATTAATTATGGAATTATCTTTAATGAATTTCGGAGTGTTCTTGCTTAATGGAATAGTAGAGTATATAAATATAAATTAAGATATAGTCCCTGTAATCATTAGTGGTGACTATACGAGACAAAATACAATACAATACATCATAGAAAAACTAATACTAATAAAAACACAAGGTCTATGGTCATGAAGTAAAATGCTTCATGCAAATAGAACTTGTTTAGAAAATACAATTTCATTTTTACCCTGAACATTCCGTATCTACTGCCTATACTTGCACAATCCAGTTTTAAAGAGATTAAAGTACATAGATCAATAAACAAAATATAAATATTTATTACTTATTAGATTTGTATAAATATGTTAAATAGTTATGAGAGAATAATCAAAGTGCGGGATTAAAATGTAACAACACTAGCACATTGAGCGTTCGAGATCACTACAACTGAAAATACATTTAGTTGTATCATACTACAGATATTTGATAATAGTGATATTTATTTATCAATAACATTGAATATGTAAGTCATGCTATTGGTTAGGTATTCCCGGGAAGGTTAGAAGAACATGCTAATTATTTAATCACAACACACAGACACATAATACTACAATATTTTTTAGGGCCTGTTTCACATTTCATGTTTACCCACACATAACTTGATCTTAGTGTAATAAGTTACAGCGATATGAATTATGTTATTACAAAGGTTACGAACATGAAGCGAACGCTGAAATCACACTTATAAAAGTCACGAGACATAGTTTAAAAAAACCTTTATGAAACATTATTCTCAGGAAGATTTGAAGTAAAAACAATTATTTAATTCACGACACTTGATTACTATTACATCTGTCAACGAGTATTGTATGGCGTTATGCGACTTAAGAACAATTACGTAATTATAAATGCATTAGCATTGCAACATTGAGCTTTTAATATCACTACAAATGAAATAAAATGTATTTTGTGCCGGTCTAATTGATGAGACAATACATTTTAAGGTTGGTTTAACCGGGAGATTATTTTCCACAGGGGTACATGCATTATTTGTTTTACACACAGATAAGTGACTAAGATAATGTATAACATGGAGTTTTCTTACTCCGACTCATTAGCAGCAGGATTTTCCTGTCGTGATACATGTTTCTTACCCTTACGGTGTTTCTGCGCTCGTTTTTTAGATTTCTTATTTTTCCCAGCATCAGTCTCAGATTCTTTGTTATCATCTACATTTGTAGATTTCTGTTTTTGTGTTTGTTTCTCTATATTTTTGCGTGGGGGTTGTTGATCTTGAAATTTCACGGATTTTTGTTTAGTTTTGCCGTTTTTTTGTTCATCATTTGGGGTACCAGATTTTTGCTCGCTACTAGCACCACTAGTTTTTCGGTCCCCATTTGTTTTACTACTCTGGGCTTTATCCACAGCGGTCGCATTATCTGATCCGTGTCCATTTTCGGATTGTGATTGGGCTTCTACAGCGGTAACCGGTTGCTCTTGTTGTTGTGTCCCTGCGTTAGAAGGCTGTTTTTGAGTCTGTACTACACTCACGGCATTTTGATTATCGTTAGCGCTCTGCTGCTGAATTTCCCCCCGCACACCTTGACCGTGACGTTTCCTCTGTTCGTATCGTGGGGGAAAGTACATTTGATAGTACCATTCACGCCAGCGCCGCTGGAACTCTTCGATAGATCCTCCAGTATAGACGGGATGCACAGGAATCAAGATGATTGGTTCTGGCAAAGGCAGAAATGGTCTGACTTCCACCTGATTCGAATAAACGACTTGAGCTGGTTGAGCATTATTTTGACGGCCATTTACCGTTCGTGCCTCATGAACGGCATCAGGGATGTTAGCTTCCACCAGATCTGGCATGTCTGGTTCCAGTTCTACAATGCCTCCCGCAAAAGACTCACCTTTATCAGACTGCAAATCCGGAATAGGCATTTTCACGGTTTTTTGCCTTGGATTGTAACGCTTTGAAGAAACTTTACGGGGTTTTCCTTTGTTATTCGGATTCGGATCAATACCATTCTTATTATCTTCATTAGACTTGCTCGGAGAGGATCTGTTTTCCTTATTATCGTTCGATTTGCGGCCGTTATTGATATCCATGACTAATTATACTTTATTCCACAATGACAATGTGTCTTTGTATCACTTTTCAGATAAAATTCATCAGATAATCACTACACAGTTGGTGAGAATTCCTGCCCCTAACGTAGAACTGATATCACCCCCTCCCACCCGTTATTGATCCGATGCAACGTTGAATATGCTGACAGACTTCACAGACACTTGGTCCCGTTCTAAAATGACGTCTATCAAATTGAACAATCGTTCATCCCTTACTGTTGTAAGAGTTTGGTCGTAAGACGAGAGAGATGGAAGGTGGCCGAATGTTGTTAAGTTAAAAAGTGAATAATGTAATTGTATTGCAAAATCGAACGTAGAACTTTCATATTCGTTTAATTAAATACCTGTGACATTAAAAACGACAATTAGTATTAGAATCTTCATAAATATTAAAATTTAATGTTGCGCTTTTAACGAAATGCCATCTGTAGTGCAAGCGTGAAATGTTTGCTGGCGCATCTAGCGCCGTGGTGAAAGTCTAGATTCACCAGCTTACTAATGTATGCACTGCAACAAGATGGCGCTACTGGCCCCAGAAGTGAAGCCCAATTTGAACACTAGGAGGACATCCATAACTTTATAAAAGAAACTTAGCGTTTTTTTTTAAGAAATAAAAAAATATTTAACTCTTTATGTTAATTAAAATGCATTAAATTTAGTGTTACAGTTTAATTTTTCTTAGCAACGCACGTTTACGTAAGCAACGTTAAAAGAGAAAATCTCAACCACTGGTAATTTATGCATAAAATATAATTATTTATAACAACAAAATAATTACTATAACTTTTTGATATCGTTTTAATGACGTCAATGTGAGGAAAAAGAGTGTTGAAAGAATTCCGATGGTTCCTCTTCGATTGACCTTCGTCAATGGAGGTCGGATGATGGTATTCTTAATTAATATTGGTTAAACATTAAGACCTTCTTACCTTCAGTTCTCTTTCGTGTGGAAACCGCAAGTAAAGCGTGGCGTGTGGGCAGTCGAGTAGCAAGTTGTCGCTCCCGTCTGTCGGGCATACAGACTTGGTGTCTTCATCAGCCTCTTGTGTCACTGTCGACATATCGTAAATACACGTTTTATATTACGCGAAGCAGGGAATACATATATGTATGATAAAAGATAACTTATTATTGAATGAACTGTGCCTATAATAGGCGAGAAACGAAAAACAAAACAGTGTTGGTTTTATTACGGATTTTTTAAGTTTTGTTATAATAAATCAGATATTAGGAATATGGAATATTCGAGAGGAATCTAAATTAGACTGCTTAGCATCATTATCAAAATTATAACCAAAGCGTTGTGTTTCACCATGTGAGTGAGGTTACCGGAAGCCCAAATCCTCCCCCTCCCGTATATTTTCCCAATCCTTAAATATCAGCAACCCTTATCCGCAAAAGGTCGACAAGTGCGTGACTCCTTTGGTGTTACGATTGTTCATGGGCGTCCCCGATTGCTTACCATCAGGTAGTCCGTCTGCTCGTTTGCCGACTTATCCCATAAATAACGACGGGCAAATAATATCCTAAATATTAATAAAATATTAAAAGACAATTCTCTGTTAGAAATGTAATCCTTCAATAAAAATTTCTGTACATTCACTTACAATTTGCTTAAATAACGTTCGGTACATTTAGTATTATTTTTCAAAATTTTGCGTATATACTTACTAGTTTTTCGTTTATGTTGATATCCTACCTACTAGCAGTAGGTAAACAATTAATTTAAGTTTCGTAAGTAAATCATGAAATCATTATCCATTATATTTTTTTATGTAAACAAGCTCTTCATAATTTTTTTTTTTTTTTGTAAACTGTCCGTGCCACACCGCCGTCACCTGATGGTGAGGTTGCTGGCCTTGTGTAGGTGTTTGTGAAAGGAGTTTAGGATTATGGATTTGAATTCGATACCCTGGAAACGATAGATCCCATGGTAACCGCACTTAAATAGCTAAACGGTAATCTGTGAGACTATTTCAGCTATAGTATGGCTCTACGGCACTTTATATAACAGTAATACTGCTTTACTGTGAAAAATTTTCATGGGGTCCCTTTTTACAAGAACAAGCCAACGGAAACCGTCAATATTTGGACATCTCATCGATATAATTCGATATAATTAAAAAAAAACAAATTGTTAGCTCTATGATAGAATGATCTCGGTGCATTCCTTTATTTATTCATCAGAAACATCAATCTATATGACGCTAGTCCCCACTCCACTAAACCGAATACGAAGCTAACATTTAACAACAAAGGTCTCATTGACTGCATGGTTAGCTAAATAAAATTATCAGAGAAGTTATCAATCATCGACAGCGATAACGCACAACTGTTAATATTGTATATCTAATGTAAGTTTCCGTTTAATTACGAGATTATGAAACATAAAACAATGACCTTCAACTGTTGTTGAATTCTTTTATCTCAGGGAAAATATATGGAACGAACAGTATGCCTGTGTGTGTCAGCGGTAATAAAACGTAATTATGGAACATCCGGGACGGAGGCACAATGTATGAGTATTTATTGACGATTAACTTCGTTACACAAATTGTGACGCCTACATACCAATACTGGACATTCCAACAATTTATTTAGGCGTGACGCTTGACCGTATTGAGATTGACCCGCTCAACAGATTAATTTAAATAACGTAGACTTACTTTATCTTATTGATGCAATCACAAAGTAATTGTTTTTACTCCGTGGCAAATAATATAGGCTTAATATACATACATGTGTCCTTGTTCGTGCGTATTATATCTACATGAACTTGATATATTTGTATGTAAAATAACTATCCCATGTACTTAATTCATAAATATCGAAGTACAATTCTATGTGGAGTTTTTTCTTATGGCACTGCGAATTCTTCGCAGATTAGGTATTTTTCCCACATAATTCCTCTTTAAAACAACGGCCAGGTAGTTACGACACTTTAAAAAAATCCCTACAAGTGCTAGATACACCAATAACGTGGGACTTTCTCTATTTAGGAATAAAGGACAAACGAAATACCGATTTTAGAACATATAAGATACTAGCTTTACTAGCCCGCGACTTTGTTCGCGTGGAAAAGTGACTTTCTGCAGAATTTTGGTTTTAGAACTATCCTATGTTATAAATTAACTAAAAAGCGCGGGTTACTCACGTGTTTTGAAAAAAGCTCGACTAGTTTCAAACCACAGAGGGGTTCTTCGTCATGAGCAGCGTGCTCATGACGAAGAACCCTCTGTGGTTCGGACGCGGACGCGGCGATGTCGCGCAGCCTACTGAGTAACATGCGATTTTTAGTTAATTTAGTATGTCTCACGATAGATAATATAAAAACATATCCTATGTTATTTCTCGAGTTCCAAATTATATCTCTACCAAATTTCACACAAATAGATTCAGTAGTTTAGACGTGAAGAAAAGACAGACAGACAGAGTTACTTTTACATTTATAATATTAGTTTGGATTGCTTGACGACCGAGAATCGATTTCAGTCATACGGTCAGGCTGACCTGGCCAATTCCGTGCCGCCTCAAAACATGTAAGTTTGATTCTCGCGTCAAATATCTATTGTCACTAACAGAGCAGTTTGTATGGAAAAAAATTGTCGTTAAAAGTATTGTACGAGCAATAATTCCTTATTTACATTAAATTTCAAAACCAAAATTAACTAATTTCGTTCAGCCGAGTTTTTTATTTAATTTTTTTTTAATTTGTTGTCTATTTTTATTATTTAAATAGTATTTGTAGTTCAACATTAATTTATGCGTGGTAAATGTCTACATTCGTTAGCTTAGTAGAAAATAGGTCTAACTCAAAAAGAAGGCTTTGAATTACATAATCTTCAAAAATAAGGTTTAATTTTGAAATACCCCTGACTTGTTCTGTTTTATAATAAACATGTGATACTTATATCTAGCTTTGCCATCACCTCTACCCTTCCCACGGTTGTTGTAGGTGATGAGTCATAATTTACACGCCCTTCGCTTTTCTATGGATGAGGGTTTGTCATAAATTATAGGCCCTAGCTGATTGCCACTGGTTGGTGACTGAACTCTACCAGCCGGTTCAACTCCAATCCGTGATTTTTTTACAGGATTTTCGACTCTATTATCTCAGATAATAAATACATAATCAAAACTCAAATATGTAAACAGAGAGGTGTAGAATGATGGCATACAGTGTACATACTGCATGTATAACTTCGAATTTAGTAAATTTTGTTTAAAGTACTTACCAGACTGAAGCAGGATTTTTAAATTTACTCACACAATCATAGCAGAGTAACAATTAGCTAAATGCTACTTTTGAGTATTTTATACTTTTATAAAATAAAATATCACAAACGCTAAAGTAACGTAACTATTACGCAGTTAGTTAAAAAAGATATCCTCAATAAGTATCCTAACTACCGTTAACATTTGTTTAAAAAGTACTTCTTCATTCTTGTTTTGTGGGCGTTACCCAGTGGGAGGAGCTACTTGGCCCCTCCTATTAGGAGAGAGGTTAAAAACATGAAGGTTGTACTTATTTGGTTTTACCCACAACTTCATACCCTAGTATTAGACCTCTTCCACGGTACCCTCACACATAAATCTTATCGGTTTTCCAAGCCTAGGATTGGTCCTTTGCTTCTCCTTACACACACAAAATTTTGCATTAACATAATTCCAAGATGGCGGGAGGCACCACGCACACCATTAAACAACCCTAATCGCAATAGAAAAACTTGTACCAAAATGTCATCAAAATACATTTGATTTTCCCTAACCTTAACAAATATTATTGACTATCATCTATTATAATAAGTTAATATTTGATGGTTTCCGGCTTGAAAAATTCTTTCCAAGTTGTGAAACTCCATTACTCCCGATATCAGCTACAAAATACGTGAATTAAACCTAGTTATGTGCACATAAAACTTTTCGTTACTTACGAACAAGTACAAAACATAGGTATAAAATTTCTCGGTATCGAGTCTCTAATGAATCGAATGATTCATACGACTCAACGAGCATAACAAATGACTAAAACAAAATAAACATTTATTTATTTACTTTAAGAATTTCAGGCCATAATTAATATAATAATAACAAAGTTCTTGTTAAATGAATCATAACATAACGCACTCCTTTGTATTTTCCCAAATGATAGGCAATATGAGCATGACACTTATTAGTTCTAAATAGATAACACTAACACTATTATAAGCATCACCAGTTATAAGAACTAATTGTTTCGAACCTATTGCAATTAAAACCATAAAGTAATAGGTAACTATAGAGGCTTAGAACATTAGCTTAACTTTTAACCTTTTCTTATGGTATACGTCGGCAAACAAACAGACGGATTACCTGATGGTAAGCAATCAGCGCCGCCCATGGACACCCGCAACATCAAAGGAGTTGTTGTCGAGAGCGTTGTCGGCCTTTTAGGGATAAAGGTTTAGAATATTTAAGGATTTGGAAGGGATGGGGGGAGAGGAAGTGATTGGGCCTCCGGTAACCTCACTCACTCGGCGAAACACAACGCTGTGGATGTTTCACACCGGTTTTCTGTGAGGCCGTGGTATCACTCCAGTCGAGCCGACCCATTTGTGCCGAAGCTTGGCTATTCCACACTTAAGGACATAATATACTACACCTACATGACATAGTACGCACTAAGTATGAAATAAAATTGGGTTGTTAACTTACCAACACATCTCGTCTTCCTGAGGTCAACAGTGCGCACGGTGGGTTCCTTCGTGGTGTAGTAGACCATAACACGCCGAATGAGCATCACCCAAGCGCCTCGCCACTCTCCAGTCACACCCTCCTAGTAAACAACAAAAAATAGAACATGTTATCATTCGATAAGCTTTTTTTCAAATGGCACGAAATCAGTCATGAGATCGCAAAATCGAGACCCAAGCCGATCGAGGCAATATGAACTAATGGCTGCAATCAGGCTGCAAGACTCGAAAGACGTACATAATTAAACTAATAAGTATTTCCTTAATGGACACGTATCTGAGAAATAAAACCTTATGTTGAACAATTTAGGTGTCTTCAAGGCTAGAATGAATAGGCTCTTAATAAACTAGTGCGCCTTACCATCAACGATTGCATCACTGCTTAACATCAGGTAGGATCGCAGTCAAGCACTAGTTTATTGCAAGTAAAAAAAAACAATATTTGCAAATCAAAATTCGCAGGACAATATAAAACATAGATTACAATAGCATCACAATCGTTTATTATTGAGCCACATGTGCCTGTATGTAGTACATAAGTGTAACTATAATATCTAGGTACTACCATGTAAGCAATCATTGTTCTTATAGACAATCCAATATACTCTCATGTCTGTCATTGTCACACGGCACGACTGATGGGCTTAAATTGATACCGATACTATCCAAGCACGCCATCTATCCTGCCAATGCTAGTGTCCATTGCCTTCCCGTGAATAATGCTCTGACGCATTATTCACGCGTCGGTCATCTTACGCCACATTGCAATAGCAAACGGGCATCGATCAATGATAAATTAGCCAATACATGTATATCTACTTCATACATCAACAAAGGGTTTACGACATGCGAATAGTTGAGTTGATTCAGAGGATAATTACATTATTACTATCCATATAACAGCCGGGGTTGCGGGGTAAGCGCAATGAGGTACCGCGACCTCGGCACAGAGCAGGAGAAGGAACAGGGGGGTTTTTAGTCAGTAAGAGTCTGACACTCCCTCCTGCCCGGCCCTGGGCGGGAGAAGTCATTTGATGATTTTCCCCTCACAAAAAAAAAAAAAAAAAAAAAACTATACATATAACTGCATTATGGGTGTATATTCCCCGGCTGCTTGTCACCCGCGAGTCTAGTAGGGCGCCAATAGAATACCATCTCTAGGCCCGGTCATGCACATGCTAACTTGATGTCCATTTAGAATGTTAGTACATCATATGTAATACTATCACGAGAAAATGTGCCCATTGTATTTTGTTTTATTTTTGTGTGAATACATGATTGTAGGTATATTCTCTTATTTCGTTTTCTAAATTTGCAACTTAACGCTAAAATTACCTACCACATAGCTTTTGTATCCTTAGCCTCATTCAAAAGCAACAAAATAAGTCTAATGCCTCTTAGATATTGACATTTATGAAATCGAAAAGAAAGGTTGGAAATGTTTGCCCAGAACTTAACCATCTGAGAACAGACACCTAGTACCATATTTTATTATTTTGATTGATTTAGCAGAAGGTATTTGCATTGTTTACTGGTGCAACCAAAAACACAACAGGTTTATTTAGCTAAAGCATAACAATAACTTTCGCATTGTAAAACTTATAGCAATTCAATAAAACATAATTATGATACACTCGCTTCACGCTTCGCAAATGTTAAGAATTTCCGCATGTTGTAAATATAACAAAGGAAGTAGGTAAAAACAAACAAATTAATTAGAGACTTTAAAGCTTCATTTTTTTGTTAAACGAGCTAATTGTTTATACGAAGGACTTACCAGTGATTTGCCGTCCTTTAGGGAAATAGGGGTTTGAAGATTTTGGGATTGGGGGAAGGGATGGATTGAGCTTACGGTAACGTTACTCCCACACTTTAAAGATCATTTGCTAGTGACCCGCCTTAACATCGTCCGGAATGCTAGTTTTGCTGTGGTTGTTTCACTGTGGTTTTATGCAAAGCCCGCACACTTATATGTAAGAATGATAATGGTAATATATTTAAATATCAAGTTTTGAAATCTTTCTTTCATCAACGCAAAAGCAACTTAAAACTGACAAGAAGTTGGATTTTGCTTAGAAGTAACAAATTCGCAAACCCCAATTTTAAATCAATAAGTAACTAAATAGAACTATTAATTTATTTAGATATCATCAAAAGCTTTTATGGAGTATGTTCCTGTATATGAAAATAATACACGCACAACGACAACCTCAAACATCTCGACTAAACTTTTTGAAATGGCCTTAAAGAAAACACCAGATGGTTCTCAAATGTGTTTTGTTATTGAACAGTGTACCAAAACATTGTATTAACAAAGGCTATCGTTCTCATCAACGTGTATTTAAAATAGAGGGTTTGAAAATTATACCTTTTTAATAAAATTACGTACTCCAAACCAAACCATAGGAACAGCATGGTCCAAAAAACATTCAAATTGGGGGTCGGGTAACTTAAATAAAGGTACATGTGCATAATCCTACATAAGCACTAACAATAAGGTCTCATTTTATTTTATGGCGCCCTCTTCTCCACCCGGGGTGAGAGACAGGTAAGCTCTTAATAATGCGACGTCGAGGGGTCAGTTAATAATATCTGCTACAGAGCAAAACAAAGCACATCCTACCTATAGATATATGCATAATTATTTCTAGTTAGATAAATAATGTACACATATAGATATTCACGGTAAACTATGTTTATATTTAGTCTGATAGCGAATTTTGAACAATAGTGTTATTCTGTGAAGTTAATTTTATAGTGTGGTGATAATGTTATGGTAAATTAATCATTTTATGGAAAGCAGCCCAGCAATAAGTGTAAGGATTTTGTGTGTATGACAATTAGGTATTTTGGTATTTATTCTGATGATAAAAAAACATCTTTCATTTATAATACGATAATGATATGTACCGAAGGCCTAAAATAAATGCATACATTAACGAACACAATTCTTAAATTAACAATATTGCACAAATCAATTAGTATGCGCCTTTTATAAAACACCCTCTAGGTTCAACAGATTTGTTGTGGTGTTTTCCCGAGTGTGTGTGTGTGTGTGACATGGACAAAGCTATGGCAACCGTTGGGGCAGACGCTTCGTTATAGATTTGCGTCATGAACACATCGACACACCAATTTCGCAGTACATAGGTACAAACTTCATTGATCCCCACCCGTCTGCGTCCAGTTACAAACATTGAATCAAAGCCTGCCAGACTAATTGATGCACTTGTTTTGCATCGGGGTCGGGGTTTAATAAAATGAAAGGGGGATGTTTTCGAAATTGGCAGTTCTTGTTTGTGCAAATTAAAATACCAAATTTTATTTTATATCTTTTGAAAAGATTTAATGTTCGTGTTGTTTTATTACCTATTTGTTTTCTGAATACAATAGAAGTATAGTTCGTAGGTTTTACGAGTATTCACGCGGTTCAAACTATCGAGTTTGAACCGTCGAGATATAACGTCTATTGTCCAATCGTAGTATATTTAGCGACATTTCGAGAATTTATTTAACGAAACTTTAATAAAACAAGCTTCTTGTTGAAATTAACAATGAAATGTATTCACTTAACTACAAAATTATCTTGCTGAGACTAAACATGTATAGATAGAAGCCTTTAGTATTGTTGTACCATAAAAGCATTATAAACCAAAACAAGTTCTAACTACAACATGTAGTGAATACTTTCGTATTGAATGAGTTCATAAATCAACAACGTTGATAGGCGACTGTGTTTTAAATTAATTCCAAAATAACATTCATTGTGAGCAAGATGTAACCAAACATAATAAAAGACGGATCCCATTTCATCTGACCGTATCACCACGTTGCTTGTACTACATAGTATTATGGATTATGAAAAGATGTACTCCAATCTCCCGACTAATCCCCCTCAACAAAACAGGAACACCCCTTTGCGCACAGATGCAAATTAAAATCATTTGAAACGCCCGTCGTTGACCATGGCTATAATTTGCAATATGAATTAGCGATTCCTCCCTTTGATATGACCAAATAAACGTATTCATAAAAATTAACACGTCCATTCGAATACTTTGTATGAAATGATGAACGTAGGCAGTATTTACGATGTACTATACTTATAGCGATTAATGCATCAACAAAATAAGTCATAAAGTTAATAAGAGGATTACATAGAAATTCTATAATTAGGGACTTAACAAAGCACGTTCGATATAGATGAGAGGAATTCATTCGATCACTTCTTAAAAATGTAAACGAAAGCTTAGTAGTACTTTAAGAGGATAAATCGTAGCACATATCGTTATATTTTGTGTAATTGCCATCATCATCGACAATATTTCGAAGGCAATAAAAACAGGGGGTAAAAATAGCAAACACTTGAAACAAAAATAATGAGAAGTACATTAGGGTCATTATTTTCAAAATTTTGCATAATCTCCTCCTGTTTTTGTAGAGGCAAATTAAATACAAAATATTATTATATTGGAGGACTACTCAGGATTGGAAAATAGGTATTAACGTGTTCTTTAAAAACCTTGTCTATAGCAGAGTAGGTAGCTGTCGTACACAATAAGAATGAGATATCCTCAATTCCTAGGAGCAGACATGGACAGTTTGGATGGCTATTTTATTAAATCACCTGGAAACTAAACCTGAACTAATAATTTCATAGACTGCCTGACAAAAGTACAGGGAGTAGGTATGTTTTTGTTAAAAAACTCGACGGACTTGCAATGAATTTTATATTTGACTGTTAAATCCAGGACCAGACAACTTGTGTTACTTGAAAACAACGTCAAATAATTCTATTGATGCAGATATGTAGACAAGGCTATACCCTCGTAGTATGGACCCCTCAGCTTTTGATTTAAAGTTCAAGGCTATTCGATACGAAGGTCTGGACTAATGCGAGGGGACACACCCCATGGCCTTGTCCTTGAAATCAAGAGTTCAAACTTTTCATCTCAGTAAAATAAATTACTTTAAAAATGTTTACATATTATAAAATAAATAAGATAGGTACATTCAACCATTTTCTATACAATAATGTTTAAAAACCTATAACTATTAACCATAAGAAAATAGACGGTCGCCA